AAGGAGTGCGTAAGGTTTGCATTTATGTCCTATGGGATACCTGATGTTTGCAGGCTCCGAGCGTACATATTGACTCTTACTTTGAGTGACTGGAGGGCCTGGCCTGGGCAATGCGTGATTCCAAAGTTGGCTAAAAAGGAGAGATGTTAGCTCAGCCCAGATGCGTGGGCGATTGGTAAGTGGTAGAGATGAGGTAGTTCAACCGACCACTGCTTCTCTAGTCAACCTGACTTGACCTGACCTGACGTGGGTAGTCAAAGCTTTAAAGATTTGTGGTCGGGTCAGGTCAAGTCGAGTCAACCAAGTGTCAGAGCCGTGGCTGATTGTTATTGGAAGAGGCAAGGTTGAAGTTGACCTGACCTGACGTATCCACAATTAAGCTATCTGTAAAGATTTCATGGCCAGGTCAGGTCAACTCACTGACCATGTTAAGGCAAGCAGCTTATGAGTGGACGACTTGAAGCCAAACTCGACCTGACCTGACGTATGCTCCACATGCAAAATGAGAGATGTTCTGGTCAGGTCAGGTCAAGAACGCAGAACTGTGTACAATGGGCTTGGGTCAGCTAAAGCTGTTCGTTGACGAGCAAGGGCTGGCTGCCATTGGAGCCTTGGAGGACAGGAGGCTGAATTTGACCTGAGGTATGCTCCATGTGCAAGCCCAAGATGTTATGGTCGGGTCAGCTCAGCTCAACTCACCTCAGGTCAGGTCAACTGTCTCGCTTAGTCAAGTCAAATAGGTGCTCGGGCAATGGCAGGTTACGAGTGGACGACTGGGGAGTCAAAGTTGTCCTGCCCTGACGTATGCTCCACTTCAGAGTTGTTCTGAGCTTCTAGTCAGGTCAGGTCAACTCTCAGTGTAGTCGGGCTAGCTGAAGGATTCGTGAGCGAGCAATCGTTGGTCCTTATTGCTGTCATGGTCGGTCAGGTCAGCTAAATTGTTCGTGGGCGAGCAATGACAGACCGTCATTGGAGGACTGGACGCTGAACTCGACCTGACCCGACCATAACATCTTGATCTGCGTGTGGAGTATACGTCAGGTCAGGTCAACTCACGTCAGGTCGGGTCAGCTCAAGAGCCTCGACAAGTGTAGCCAATGGCTGGGTGATGGTAAAGATTAAAGCTTTAGCTGACCTCACCAGACCATAAAGTTGACCTGACCTGACCATACAATTTCGCCCCCGCCAGATCGGTTTCATCAACTCATTTCTATGGTTGGGTAAGGTCAACTATGTCGCCCATGGTCGGCTGAGAGTCAGTGAGATGCAATCCGTCCCTCCTCCAAAGTGCAGGGTTCGTAGTGCTCGCTCGCCTCGCACTGGATGAGATTGCGCGTGTCGATTTGAGTTCCAGGGGTCGTTGGTTCATTTCATCAACGAGGGCCGGGCGTCCCGAGTGCAATGTGCAATCATCAATGAGACTTTTTATGAGCGTTGAATTGGGAAGGTGAATCGTGAGCAGAAGCAAATGGCTTGCTGGCCTCATTGCAATTATTTGAGATTTCATCTCACTTCATTACCTTCACTCATGCATTCGCCATGTACGTTTTCTATGCATGACCCGGCCTGTCTGTGGGTCGTGATAATTGAGGCGATGAGAATTATCACTAGCTGAGAAGCTCTCTTCAAAATTCAGTGGGTAAGGTCAGATGAAGGATTGAGGATTCGGGGGGCCAACAGGAGGGGAGAAAAGGTGGTCAATGTGAAACGCAGGAACGGTCCCTGGAAATTATGTGATTAAAGTGGCGCTTCGGAATGGTTCGTGGGCACGCAAGGTTTTTGTGAGATTGAATGAGATGGGGGCGGTACGCCGGCTTGCGCCACTGAAGACTACCACTGATGAGTGGGTGAGTGAGTCGAGACCTCCCGATCTACAAAGTACTCTGTAAATGACAAGCCCTGATGGGAGGAGGGAATGAGGGGGGCTCCAATTAGTGGGTGTGACGCTGGTGTTGGATTGGAGGGTGACTGTGGGTGGGATTGATAAAAGTGAGATGTTTATTTTGTGAAACGATGAAACATTTCCAACGAGCATGACATGCTATCGAAGTGAATCGAAGTGAAGAATTCGTTCGCCACGCTCTCCTTCACCATCTCATGCAAGCCAGAGGGATCATCAACGTCGTGTCACCAGGCCAAGAGATGAACTTGTGTAGTGAATGCTTCACAAACATGTTCATCGACAGGATGTACGGATAGGTCCGTCCTCAATACCTCGCATGTAGCCCGTTGAGCGCTGTAATGAACATCCGTCACCAAGGACCATCGACTGGACACAAGTCACCACTTACAACGCGGCAAAACAGAGGGGGAAAGGAGGGGGCCGCACACGGCGCGGTACCATCCAATGAAGCGCCGGCCGGGAAGGGTGAAGTACTTTGGCGTTCGCTAGCCCGGGACAGCAACTCACCTGCTCCCCGGGCCCTGGACCCTTCCAAGAGATATCCCAGTGTCGGCTTGCACGTTGTGCAAGATATTCGTTGGCTTGGGGGTGTTCATTCGCTACGGATACTTTGACTGCAGTGCTGCACCGCGGTGCCTGAATGTTGCCTCCCGCGTCCTGCATGCTGCGGTCCAGGTTCAGGCTCAGCGGCTCGCACTCTCTTAGCACATCCAAGAAAATACCTACTGCCTACTATGTAAGTATGGCTACAGAGAGGTCCACGTCTGAACGTCGTCGGGGATGAAGCCCGGGAGGAAGCCCCGTCATTTGGCTGAGGCGTTGGCCCGTCGTCTGAGACTTACACAGAAGCGGTGGTGGACGGGCCCCTGGGCGGGGACTCGAGGAAGGCTCTAGCTCCTGCTTGACTGATGTCTGTCTCTTGTCTCTCTCTATGCCTGGCACGTCTATTCGTACAGCCTGCCAAAGTCTGATGGCAGTGACTGGCCGTCCGTGTCTGGGCCCTGGGGCAGCGGGCTGGATCGTTGATGTGAGGGGAGGGGGATGTGTGGTGCCATGCGGACGCCCGATGAGACCCTATCCGGCCCAAGGTGCATGGTAAACTTGGGCCCAAAGGCTTGCATGTAAGGACATGTAAGGTACAGGTCCGTTCCTTGGTGATCTTCCCGCGGGACGAGTGGTAAGTGCCGGGTTATGTGGTTTTCCCATGTGGAGATGATGGAGAGTAGTGTAGCTCCCTCACTTCGTCTGTGATTCATCTTGGATTTTGCGTTGAATTTTGTGGTCTCGACTCTTAAGCCCTTGGATGTTTCTTGTTTTCTCGTTTTGTTTCTTCCTCTCCCCTTTTTTCTTCTTCCTCTCGTCTGGTTCTTCGGTTTTGCTGACCACTTCTTTTTTTGTCGTCATTTCTTGACTCGAAGGAAGAGTTGCTTTCTTCATCCTTTTCTCGAAGTCGTTGTTCGTGGGGTTCAGCAACGTCTTGTTTGTGAATTACCCTTTTCAGCCAGCCAGCCTGTGCTTCCGATTCCCTCCCCACCACCACGCCCATCATCCCGAGTCACGAAACGAAGAACGGCACTTGGCCTCTGCGACGGCCTGCCTTTGGACGTGTTGATCAGTCCAGCATTTCTGTTTTCAAGTATCATCAGCTGGAAACATGACCACTAGTTTATTCATTGCTTGACAACAGCTTTGAGCCAGCCTCTTATTGTCGTCGATTCCGAGTCCCCGCCGGCATCGAGGAAAGTATATCGGAACTTTGAGAGATCTTACCGGACTCCGCTGCATTATACCCACTCCGCCGAATTCGAACACGGCTTGCGAGCGAGCCGGCAACCTTGACAATATTATTCGAATCGTATGCTATCGACACTGGACACCGTGAAAGACTGAAAGAAAGAAACCTGGAAATCCTCATTGTCGTCGAAAAGGAAGCAAGACGATCCAGGCCTCGATCCAGGATACCGCCAACATCCAAGTGGTGCACACTCGAGCCCATTCCCGGTCACAGCGTTCGAAACGAGGAGAGAGACCCCTACACTTCTTTTCCCTGGCGGGTCGAAAAGGAAACCAAAAGACAAATTCATGCGAAGAAGAGAGGCGATAAGCATATTCAAGAAGATCCTATTCGGGAGCAGATCCGAAACATCAGACTGAAGTTGTGAAGCGCGGACGACAGCGACGCTGTAAGAGAGGGACAAGGGACGAGAGGCGCGGCGGGCTGTCATTGACTGCTCGGTCTGGTTCCTTTTTCCTGCGTCTGGAGTGTTTCCCAGTGGGAATTTCTTGATTCGAGAGGTCCGGGAGTCTCGTTCGGTCGCCGAAGGAAGGGTTATTTAACATCTTTGTGTCCGGTTCCCTTGCAAGCCCTTGGAAGCTGTCTTTTGAGAAAGATTTAGGTGTAAGCAGCATTTGCTTTGCTTTGCTTTCCCCCGTCTTTCGAAAGGGTGCAACTAAAGCGGCAGCATCAGCATCAACAGGAGCATCGCCTCGACCACGGACCGTTGCGACAATCGAGTCGACTACGACAAAGTCATCGAGCCGAGGGTGTTTCGTCAATTCCCCAAGCGAAAAGGAAAGAGTTTGGTCCGCGTCGCATCGCATTCAAGCCACTTGGTTGTGGTAATACTCCTCCGTGGTGTTGGGTGCACCGCGATTGGTGGGGTTGCAATCTCTTGACGAGAAGTCGAGGATTTGAGAGGGAAGAAGCGAGTGGAGAGACGGGCGACCCCTGGAGGGAAATTGCACTTGCGGCGTCTGCGGGTGCTTGATCGCCGTCGGCTGTCACTTTTGCCTTTCTTAGCACTTAACAGCTGGTGCTAAGAAAAGCTGACCTAAGAAAGAAGCGTCTTAGGTAAGGAGGCCAGCACCTCAAGCGAGAAAGACCAGCGAAAAGTACTCTGTAAAAAAGAGAGAGAAGCGACAAAAGATGTGGGACGCCTCTTCAGGTGAAAGTCGCGGTGGAGCGGGGGCGGGGCCAACCGCTATAACGGGCCTGCAATTAGAGGGCAGGGTGGGTCCGGGGACCGACGCCCTATCAAGGTCCCGGTCAGGTACCAACGGCGGTGGTGTTGGCGCATTTGGTGCAGGTATTGGTGCGATGAACGGCGGTGCTGGTGGTGCAATTGGCCGTCGGACAAACAGCCTGAAAACGACGGGCAGCCCTCAAAAGAAGTTGACGCCGCCGCCGCAACTACGCGAGAGGAATCTTCTCAAGTCTGGCTCAGTCTCCGTCTCCAGTTCTCTCTCTTCCGTCACTGGCTCTGTCACGCGCGAACGCGACCTGGAAGGACACCTTGGACACCTTGGAGCTCATCCCTACCACCGCCAATCATCCACTTCAACATCCCAGCAGCAGCAACAGCCACAACACCAACACCACACGTCAACTTCCACGACAACACAACAAATCAGGGTGCATTTACGAGGAGGAGGAGGAAGCGCCGGCCAACATCACCAGCAGTACCAACCCGTCCAGCCATATCAATACCAGGTCCCCGGACAAAGAGGAGGACCACCACCAGCTCCAACATCGGGAGCAGCATCTCGAAGTCGAGACACCATTGCCAACTACAACAGGCTCCGCCGCGAGACCCAGCACAGCTCCACGAGCACATTGCACCACCAAAACTACTGGCCCGACAACTTTCGCAACCCGCGCGGCGGACTCGGCATCGAGCACAACAACAACAACAACAACACCACCACCACGAGATCGAATTCGACAGCGACGAACCCGAGAAACGACACCCAGCCTCGAACTGCTGGCATCCAGAAACTTGCCCTCGAAGAGAGTGGTGTTGCTGAAGAGTGAGTATTTGCATCTCTACTTCTCCCTTCCCCGAATACCCGATCCACCATGTTCCACCCAAAATGCACGATGCGATGCGACGAGAAGAAAGAGGAAAGAGCGGAAGAGAGTAGGAGAAGGCGAGAGAAATGGGAAGATCAACCACACCACATCAAGGGAAGGAGCAGCTGGGAGCTTGGACACCCGTTCCTGCCCGTTGCGATATTGACTTTTTCCGTCCTTTCCCACGCGCCTCCCCAACGAACTCAACGACGGTGCGAAGCTCAAGCGGCGGCCAAGCTCAAGCTCAAGCTCATGCTCAAACCAAAAACCCCCCAAAATTTCCAATATTCGCAATCGACGCGCCCGCCACTCGAGCCTTCCACTCGGCCAGATGAAGTGAAGCTCTTTCCCAAGGTTTCCTGGCGTCAAAGCCAGTCGTTCCATGGGCTCACCATGGCGGCAGCAACCTCGTCCTCGCGCATGCTCCTCGCCCATCGCGACTTTTCCCGCAACCTCGACCACGTCGCTGGCATTTCGGCCTCCTTCTCTTGCAACCTCACTGCCCTTCAAGATACTCTGCAAAACACTCTCCAAAACGCTCTTGCTAACATCCCGCGCTCCCGTAGCACTCTCGACGACCTCCTTCCCCCGCGCAACCTATACAAGAGCCACCGCGATACCTCTGGTGTCTGGCGCCCTGCGTCCTCCATCTACTCCGACGGCGACAACTACACCTCCCCCATCTCGCCAAACTTCGCAAACGTGGCTGCCCGAAACACCTACACCTCCGCCGTGGCGGACATCTCTCCCCCGAGCTCTCCTGACATGGAAGCTCACGGAGATGGGTAAGTCGGATCCAGCCATTCCTACCAAAAGATGCAGTGACGAGCAGCAACACAAAACGTTTGGCTTGTCTGAGAAGTCTTACTGTTCGCTCTCAAAACCCACGCGGAGTGTGTCTCGTCTCGTCTCGCTTTTTTTGGATAGTGAATCACTTGCATTCCAACCACCCACTAACCATGTGTCTCTACTTCAGAACCCCCACGCAGGGCCGCGGCAATGTCTCGCCCATGGACGAGAGCCCGGACATGTCGCAGCTCGATATCAACGGCGCCGCTGGCCAAAACGACCACCGTCACCAGGTTCAGCAAAAGACAAACATCCCCATGATGCGCCGCGAACGTCGCAAAAATCAAGAAGCTGCGGCTCACACGCTCCGAGAGACCAAATCCCAGCAACGCTTGCGGATCCAGCGCGAGACCAAGTGGGATGACATGACGGGTGAACCCACGTCCCAGACCACGGGCCGTGCGGGTCAAGTCAGGCCACAAGAGTACGCCCAGGAGTTTGGTTCAAATTCGCAGTTCGGCAAGTCTCCGGCCGCAATGAGAGCCATGCAGAACGCACCACAGGCGCAGCAAACCTTTGGTGATCGCCTGCGAAGGTTGAGGCCCGTCGGCGGAAGCCCAAAGCAACAGCAATCCCAGCAGCCGCAGTCGCCGCCTCAGTCATCAACCACACCCGATGTCATTGACGAGCGCCCACCATGGCGAGGTGCAAGCGGACGAGCACCCATCGTGAGCCCAGTCCGTGACACGAAGCCTGCAGCACCTCTCAATATCCCGCCCAAGAGCACCAGACGCGCCGCCGTTGGGCCTCGGCTGCCCATCGCAGGTGTCAATTCACCACTGTCCCCTGTCAGCCCCTCTGGATCTGAAACGTCACCGCGGTCGAGGACGCCCACCATCAGAACGGTCTTCAACGCTCCCCGCCAGCTGACTACTGCCTCTACCGCCTCATCTCCCTCCGCCGCTCGCACCCCTCCACCCGCACAGTCGGCATATCCCAGTCCTCCCAACTCGGGCGCTGGAGTCCAATCGCCCGTACATGCGACGCCCGAAGCCACTAATGACGCCAATGTCACGAAGAGACAACCCCCATCCCTGATGGGCTTGCCCTCTGCCCCTAATGCACATCTCGGCCTCGACAAGGCTATACGAAGAAAGCCTCCTCCTGCCAACTCGCATGCGCTTCACGCTCCGCAGCCCTCCTATTCTTCGAGTGTCTACTCAGAGCAGACTGTTCACGCTCCCGCAAGTACTCACGAAAAATCGCCGCCTCGCGTTCCTGCAGCAGCACAACGCGAAGCTGCCGCTGCCGCTGCAGCCAAGCCGACTGACCCCTGGGCTCAGCCTCCCTCGAGATTCAGTGTCACTACCTACGCGACTTCCGCCGATCCCGATACCCCTCGCGAATCCGCAGAGTTGGATCGGCCTCCGGTGCCATCTCTCCCGACACCACCGCAACAGCAAAAGGACGGTGTAATGAACCGCAGACGACCACCTGTACTCAAGTCCACCAGCCCTTCCATCAACCCAGACCAGCCCATCGTCATCTCCATGTCGTCCCCCTACATGTCGGGCGCCTTCACTGAGGACACGTCGCCGCCGCCTGCCCGAACTCAGCTGCCCAGTCAGAAGCAGCCGCTGCCTAGAACGAGCTCTGCCAGTCTGTACAGCAACTCTAGCCGTCCGGAGTCGGTTTGGTCTACTAGCAAAGCCTTGCCTCCGCCGCCGACCGAGCTCTCCATGGTCAACGATCGCGTGGGCTACCTCAACGCTCGGTTGGAGTCGTTGGGCAATCGCCGCATCAACATCAACCAGGCCATTAAGCAAATGACGGAGCTCATGCCGACCGACAGCATCCTGGCCAGCGAGGCAGTTCTTAGGAAACGCGAGGCTGAGAAGCGCAAGGTGGAGGCTCTCAAGGTTGAGCTCGCTGAGGTTCAGCGTGAAGAGTACGAGATTGGCCTCAAACTGCACAGAGCCTACAAGAGAATGGATCGCAATGCGGAGTACGAGCCGACGACGCTCTGGGTGCGGAGAGTTACTGGCTAGCCAAACCTAGCCCGTCATGGTGAGAGGGAGAATGAGTGAGAGAGAGCTTGTATGATACTTCCGGGCCCTGCTGATAACGGCAGTTCGGACGGCTGCTTATTTTTGGTGCAGCTTGGGTCGCGGACACCAGCGGAAGCGTTTCAGAGGAGTTTACACCGTTTAAAAAAAGCTGGACAGCACAGTTTATTGCGAGCACGGAGTTTTATGGCCCTGACTTCGCTTTTTCGTTTGCATTACCCTCTTTTGGGAATCAGATTGCGAATAGGGCATGGTTAGTGGGATGAATTGGGCGTCTCTTGGCAGGTGAAGTTTTGTTTCTATGCTTTTGTTTTTGATACCTATTTTTCTTCGAGAACTGTAGAACAGAATTCTAGAAACCCTTTTTTCTTCCAAAGCACTTGAACTCATGTTTGATTCCGACCAGAGTGTGTCTCGTCTGTTGCTCACTGCGAGGCCGCTTGCTTGGTGACCCAATGTTTTGGAACAGCGAAGTGTTGAAATCAAGAGTATCGGCGCATACAAGTGTAGAGGAACGTGAAAAACGGTCTGGGGATCGTTGATGGCTATAGATAGACTCGAAGAGTATCGGTGGAATTTGGGAAGCTTTACTGAAAGTCTTGAGTTGACAGTCGAGAGTCAGAGTCTGCGAAGGGCTTCGAGTAAGACGAGGTTTCTACCGCTCTACAGGCCTTCTAATCACGATGACTCTCCAAGGTTTCTTGAGATGTATCAATTTACGCTTGAATCATTTGGTCGTGGATCAGAAGCATAGATCACACTACCGTGAGATCTGGGAATAGCGTCACCGTGAACAGACGTCAAGCAAGTGAAGCGAGGAAGTCAAGCGCGTAGACTAGAGTACATTCAAATTCCAATAATATGATGTGATCCATATACAAGCTATAGATCTCATCTCTTTCGATCTCTGGGTTGTTCCACCCTTTCTCCAAAGCCGAATCCAAATTTACACAACAAAGGATCAGCAGCTGGCATTATCACATACCCAGACCGGTTCTTATCATCACCCGGCAACTTGAGCACTCCATACCCAAGCCTCGGAGTCTCGAACCCCTTTCCAACCCCTTCCCCTCTCACTCCACGACCTCCTCTCACAATCCCATCCAACCCCGATCCCCTCGTCGCTTCAACAACGTCAGAAGACCTCGTCCCCATACACACTCCATTCTTCCTCGCAGCCACAGCGCCAGCCATACCCCCAAGCAGCGTCATACATATCAAAACACCATACACGCCCACCAGAATCCCCATCCGGTACCGAAATCGTATCGCGGGTCGTGACCGTATACACGGGTACAGATACTCCTCCCCCGGACCGACCCCCGTCCTCCGAATGCCCGTCTGCTCGTTTTTCTTGGCAGAGCCAGCCGGTGCTTGATGCGGAAGTGGCGGACGAGGACAGATGTGCTGCCAGCTGAGAGATGCCGGCTGAGTACCTGCTGAGCAGTAGATGGGTATGACGTATGCAACAAAATGTGAGCTGCAAACAAACTAATACCTGCCAATGCTTTCTCGCGCCAATGATTAATGCCCCCCCGATTGGGAACGGGCTACTGGTACTATTGGTAGGGAAGAGCCTGGTGCTCATATTCAAGATACCATAGAGTTTACCCAAGAGATATACTTCCTTGAAGAGTCTATCGAGACAGTGGGAGTATCCACTGATACTGTGTTTTCATGCTGTGTCAACGATATCGAGAATCGCCCGAGCAGCACGCAAAGGCAGAACATTAAAACAAATACTTCCTTGAAGTCGAGATAGACGTAATTCTAAGTTCCTTCTTATCGAAGAAAGTAAATTCTTTATGAGTCATATGTACAAAAATATAATTTTGATAAGATAATATAGTACTTACTTAGCACTTGAAATACTATGCTCTTTGGAGCTTGCTATGAAATAAAGATGACTGTACTGCTGACTGCTGACTGCTTCCCACGAGATGGACATAATTCGATATAAAGATATTTCGAGGTAAGGTACCTAGTTGCCAAGCGTGGGGACACGACCCGCTTTTACCTACCTTAGGCAGTAAGCCGAACTGGGATGCGACTGCAACTGCAACTCTCTATTCCTAAGGTACTCCAAGGTACTCAAGTTAAGCTATT